TGTGTGTGTGTGTGTGTGTGTGTGTGTGTGTGTGTGTGTGTGTGTGTGTGTGTGTGTTTTATCTGATCCGGATGGTTACTAATTCCTTTTCTTTATGGCGGTCATTTTTGACCGGGAACACCATGGGTGTTACAAAGTTGACTAAATCATCCAAAATTCAATGAAAGTGGTGATCAGCAATTTTATATGTTCAAATGTCTACTGTGAAGGATATCATAAAGCCTTAATGCAATCGAATGTAAAACACAAAAGTTATGATTGATGAAAGTAGTAAATCGGTCAGATTTGACCCGAAGACAACAGGAGGGTTAAGAGAATTCCCCCTTCACTGGGGATTATATCTGCCAGACAGTTGATCCTGTGGTATAGGGAGTAACAGGATTTGTATGACCATCTACAACAATCTAGAAAGTCATCTTGCTTCCAATCTGTCTCAGTAGATTTATACAGTCTGTTTATCACTGCTGCAGTTTGAGGTTCAGTTTTCACTCTGCAAATTTGATCATGGTTTGCATTTAGTGCCGTAAGTAACCCCAAACTAATGATCATAATTAAAGTTGCAAGAAGGTTCTTACTTTGTCATGTTTGGTTAGGTTTAGTTTGTTTTTTATGTTTAATGGCTACAAAAAGTGCAAACAAATTCTAACTTTGGACTAGAGACCTATGGGAAGAATACGTAAGAAGCAAAAGAAAACTGAAAATACATTTCAGTTCACAAATAAATAAAATAGATGCAAATCAATAAATAAATAAAACCATGCTCACTGCATTTTTCTGTAACCCCTTGTATCACTTGCTCCATCAGTTTTGTTTGCCACCAGCCTCCCACTTCCCTACCTTCTGCTCACAGGGGGGTGAGGTTCAGCTGCAGTTCGTCGAAGGCACTGAAGTATTTAAATACTTTTCTTTTACGTCTGTTAACAGTGATTTGTTGCCTATTACATTGAAGTGCTGGAGGTCTGGACATATATTCACACACATACACACAACTGGCATAAAGACAACAAATAATGATTATTTGTTTATTGCCAGCAGCGCAAGTAAAGGTTCTTGGGAATGAAAGAAAGAGGGAATGAAAGAATTGTACAAATAATCTAAATGAAGATGGATGCAAGAAACAAGAACTCCTGAAGGCTTTGTACACATGTTGACTATCTCATCTTTCTGATTTAGCTTCCAGATACATCAGAAAACACACAGTGTGCACAGAAACACACTGACACACTGTGCAAATGCTCACACAAGGACACACACAACAGCACAGCTGAGCTGATACAGCGGTTCATTCTTCACAGTTCGTCCTTGAAGTCTCTTCTGAAGAAAGAGCCAACCGTGACTGTCTGCATGGCTGAGCGTGCACTACTGATAAAATACACTGCTCCTGATATGTTTCACTAATGAAACAAACTTGTTTCAAACTGGGTCAGGCTTTGCAGAAAGCTTTAACAGGTAAGAAGAATGGTCTGCTTTATATTCTGACGTGAAGGTGAGGACCCTGCTGTTGTACAATTCATGCAAGTAAATTAAGTCTGGGCCTGTTGTACTAAATAACTAAGATTTATATTATGAAAGACTCCAAAATTAGGACGTTCAAATCAGATTATTTGGGGCAAGTAATTACTGACTATATTCTTTACAATGATAGATGCTGTAAGGTCACAGATGAGGAATTGTGTGGTGCAAAAGAGGAGAGGATTATTTTAGACTCAAGGCTAAGACGAGACAAGAAGAAAATAGACGAAAGCCAAGATGGGAGTCAAGGGAGAGATTAGTGGAGGAGGAAAAAAGAAGAAGGCATCCTATGTGAGGAGAAAGGGAAGCAGGGAGCAAAGTGAGGGGATAAGGATGTGGGGAAAGAGACGGCAGGACCCAGGGGAAGTATCAATGAGGCTATCGATCTCTCCATCCAGCGCACGTCTGCCGTCCTGTCACTGTCTTCCCTCATCTACCCGCATCATCAACATGGGATGGATTTCCTTCTCTGCATTTGCATTAGTGTGATCAGGATGGACAGGCGGATCAAAGAGAAGCAGAGGCGGAGAAGAAAAGGGAAAGTCTAACCACTCTAGAGTCGAACTGATGGATCGGTCTATATAAGCGGTGCAAATATATGCCACAATATGGATCTTCTTTTTACAGTCATTGAATATGTCAATCAAATTGAGGAGTTATGACTGGATATTTACATTCCCAGCAGGACATGGTCAATGTACTCCAAAAGCTGGCATCATTCATTTTAAAATGAGGGCAAATGTATGAACATGTTGCATATTTTATAAGATATTTTATGAGAGCAAAACAATATTATTTGCAGAGCTTAGAGAGTAGCCTTGAAAATGTCATCAGTATGCATTCTGTGCTTTGTTAGTGATGTGACACCACACACAGAGCATGGTATATATGTTATGTAGTTATTTGTAGAAACATCTCTACAGTTTATGTTCTTGTTAAAACCAAAATGCTGCAGATCTTGGCAATTGCATTTTTTTTATTGTGAGACGATTGTCACAGTTGTTTCCTCAAAAATTCCTAAACTGTTTTTTCACTTGATTGTTTTATTGTATCATGATCACCCCTGTAGGACCCACTGTTTAGATCTAGAGGGTTTGAAACGTTCAACTTTTGCATAATGTAAAGCTTGTCATAATATCCCAAATATGAATACTCGATTGATAACTCAAATTTATAGGTCCAAAGTACTTCATTAACAAGACTGAGAGTCCACAGATATGCTATCTATGCACTCTGTGAATTCACACTCTAATGTTAACTGGACATAAGTATGTATGATGTATCCTCTGGTGACCATGCATGTCTTACACATGTTCATGGTAAATGACAATTGACTGAATTATTCCAACATAAGTGCAAATCAGAAAAATAAATGTATCAATTTGTGTACTATAAAAACATGGAAAACAGGATAAACTTCACTTTAATTAAGTCCTAGCACCGAAATGATTCATCACTACCAATAACAAACAACACAGTGCTGCTGTCTCATCTATCTCACTCTCTTCTGTTTATATTTCTCATTATCCCAAATCTGTTCTTCTCTCTCCTTAAACAATCTTTCAATCCTAAATAGCCACAATAAAAGGAGATTAAACTGTTAACCAAACAAAGACTCATTGTATCTCTCTGACATTCACAGCTACAAACCAAGCATGTAAGACAAGAGAGTGACAGAGCGGGGGCGGAAAGCAGAGGAAAAATAAGACAAAAATAAGACGCCTGTGTACTAAAAACTGACTATTTGATTTGTGTCCACTTCGTTAGCTGATGTCTACTTAGGGTCCATTAGCTAGAAGTCATTAAGCTTACTCCGCAAGATCAATTGCCCATTATAATAAATTCCCAAATATCAAAGAGAGAGCATCTGCATCAATAAGTCCAGCTGGTGTCTGTCCTATCAGAAACTAGGAGTGCTCTGATTAAACAATCAGTTATTCCATCAAACAAACTATCGAAGCTGTTTATTCAGCTCAGGTTATTTTTAAGATGTTGCATGACATGAAATAAAAAGCAAACCCTCCTTTTTCTGGTGTTTTGAGGCTGAGTGCATTCATGCGATGTTACTGGCAGATCAAACGGAGAAAACAACGTTGTCTTCAGCGCGCTTTGGGACAGTGAGGGTCCCGGCCTGTGAAAGGAGGTTAGCTGGTCGGAGTCTGACGCCAGGCTGAAAGCTGCTGACTGCACTGCTATGCCAGCTGCTGACTCCAGACCTCTGAGCGCTCTGCCCCACCTGCTCACTGCTGGAGCTCCAACATGCAAAGACACACAAACGCTCATATATGACCACACATATGAATACATGGAAAGAAATCTGTTTTAACTTGTATTTCCCAACTGTTAATATTCCTGTCCTATATCCACTACTCATTTACATGTGGAATACTTATAGTTGCACAGTTATATTTACTTTTTTAAGGTGGGACTCAAAGAAAAAGGGTAATACAGCAACTATCATTTTGAAATGTATGTTCGTCAATGATATATACAAACACGATTCAATGTGTTCATTTGTCGAATTTAGATGTAGTTAACTTTGGACTGAGCCAGGCTAGCTGTTTCCCCCAGCTTCCAGTCTTAATGCTAAGGTAAGCGAATCAACTGCTGACTCTAGCTTAAAGGTCACCTGTTATGCAAAATCCACTTGTTCATGTCTTTTATACATAAACATGTGTCCCCTCAGTGTCCAGACATTCGGAAGGTTTCAGGAAAAAGAATTTGCTCACTTTTTGTCCTGATCCATTTATATAAAAAACCTGTCTGAAAATATACAACACAACAATAACAGTAAGTCAAAGAGCAGGGCTACGTTTGTGAAAGGGGCATTAACAAACAATCAGTCTCTTAAGCAACCAGTTTGGTATCATCTGTCATTTTTGTGGATGCTTAGCCTTTTGATACCACATAACGATCTGATCTGCGAGAATTGCATGAAGCGTAAAGTGTGAATGGGCCTCACATATTGAAGGACTGTCCCCAGTAGACTTCAATAGTTGTGCTGCAGTGGCTGCTGGGATATTCAGATAAAACTACGACACCTCAAACGATTAAAAGTTCAACGATTTTTTTCACTTGCGATTTACGGAGATATCAAATCTCACCTTTAATATGTGGTGGCAGAGGCATCAAATGACTGAATTACTGAAACAATTTGTGAAGGACTTTGATCTTGGTGGAGTCAGAGTTCAGCTTCTATTTCAGTGAAGCTATAATTGTTTCAATTACACTGGTTCCTTCTTGTCTGAGTACTGATAACTATTTAATATTTAATTATGCAAAGTGATGTGGGTGGAATCCACACATGGAAACAAAGGCATTAGTCTGAGACATAAAAATACATAAATATGAAATGTTGTGTGTGTATGTGTGGAAGTGGAGAATGTAGGCGAACGTGAGTGTTTGTACATTTGTGTGTGCATTTATGAAAGTGTTAATATTCACAGAATATATGGAAGCATGTGTGTGTTTGTGTGCGGTGAATTTACCTTGGCAGGTGAAGCACTGAACATGGAAGTGTGTGTTTTTGACGCGCACCACTTCTCCACGACACACGTCCCCACAGCGCTCACACACGATGGGCGAATTGCCACGGCTGGAGATAGGAGAGCTGCTGTTGTTGTTTTCTCCATAAAGACCTGACTGGTACTGAACTGAGGAGGGGAGATGATCAAAAACATGTCACTTGTCATCATCTCGAAGCCTTTACTTTTGTCTTTCTTCCGACAGGATTCAAACATCTGATCAAAGGGATTCGAAAATGTGCCTGACACATCGACAAAAAGGAACACATGCATGTTTTTCTCTTCTCAGTGTCTTGTCTTGTCTACAAATGATATGTGGCAGCTAAACACAAGCTTTAATGTATAACACATCAGAAAACAGATGTGCAGGTTTGTCTTTTACAGTATATCACAGAAACAAATCAGAATCAATGATTTTGACTTTAAGCAATCATGTACAGTAGATACACAAATAAAAAACACAAACATCACACACACACACACACACACACACACACACACACACACACACACACACACACACACACACACACACACACACACACACACACACACACACACACACACACACACACACACACACACGAGAAGATGTGGAGGAGAAAACTTAGTGCAGGACTTAGTGATTGACTTTAAAACTCGTAGTGGCTTGCTTCTCTGCCAGGGAGATCAGCCCGACTTACAACCATTAATTACAAGCTTAAGAGACGGACAGGTGTAGAAAAACACATACTCTACTGACTTACGGAGACATTTCAAAGTTGATGGCTGTATGGTTGTCAGGAGTATATGTATATATATATATATATTGAACCCTCCACTAATGTTCCAATGGAAGAGATTAACTGTTACACTTTGCATATTTTAATGAATGTAGTACACTGTGCAATTGTATACTTAGAATTGACTGAATACTTGTATACTAAGTCATTCATTTAAAGTATTCAGAGAGGATAGCATATTAAGAATTGCATTGTACGTTGGAACTTCTGCATAGGACACTAAAGCAACATTTTTTTTTCAGGTTTTGTTTTCTATCTTCTATCAACCAAAGTAAAAATGCCAAAAAAGTAATCTTGAAAAAAGAACTATACATGTACATATACACAATTTTAGCTAAATTAACCTATGCTAATATTAACGCTTATATTAGTGCTTTTGTTTCTTTGTGTTATTTTAACTACATCATGAGAAGCCTTGGAAATTGTCTTTGTATTCGAGTATGATAAAAATAAAGATCATCCTATGTCATGAGACAGAAAAGGGCACATGGGGCTTTTTGGGATTACACTTCTTTCATCTTTGCTTATGAAACGGCTCAAATCCCTTTTAGTAAAAAAAATTATATTTTTTTCACAGTGTCTGAAACACACACACAAACACACACACACACACACACACACACACACACACACACACACACACACACACACACACACACACACACACACACACACACACACACACACACACACACACACACACACACACACACACACACACACACACACACACACACACACACCGTGTCACTGTCACAATAGACAGTAATTATGTGGTTTCACTGAGTGACAGCATATTTGATCAATATTGATTTTGATTTCCTGCAAGAATAAGCTGACCTCTATCCAGTGTGCAACAATCTAATCAATTCTCCTTTAGTCTACTCAATTCAATCACTTTACAGTTAATGCTGCTGCCTCCCAAAGTATTATGCAATTGCAGCACACACACATACACACACACACACACACACACACAAACAACACACACACACACACACACAACACAAACACACACACACACACACACACACACACACACACACACACACACACACCAACCCTACACACACACACACACACACCACACACACACACACACACACACACACACACACACACACACACACACACACACACACACACACACACACACACACACACACACACACACACACACACACACACACACAACATGCAGGCAGGCAGGTTAAGCTGATGAGAAAAGGAGGGGGAGAGTTATGGATCTATAAATGTTTTCAGGAGAGAAAAAAAAGGTAAAACTGGGACAAAAATGTTTCCTAACAAATTGTATCTTCATTGAATGAGTGTGTAAGTCTGTGTGTGTGTGTGTGTGTGTGTGTGTGTGTGTGTGTGTGTGTGTGTGTGTGTGTGTGTGTGTGTGTGTGTGTGTTTGAGTGCGCACAACAAAAAAGCTGGCATCGGCTCTGTAGCCAGATGGCAGCACAAGGACTGGATCCACATACAACATAGAAAAGCCACCTGTGTGTGTTTGTGCACGTGTTAGAGTGTGTGTGTGTGTGTGTGTGTGTGTGTGTGTGTGTGTGTGTGTGTGTGTGTGTGTGTGTGTGTGCATGTTTGCAAGAGAAAGATGGAGAGAGAGCCTTAATTAGTTATTTGTGTGCATGTGTTTGCTATTGGTACTATGTTGCACGTTTTACTTTATGAAATTGGTGAATATGTGCTAAATGTGTTTGTGTTTGAGTATGTGTGTGTGTGTGTGTGTGTGTGTGTGTGTGTGTGTGTGTGTGTGTGTGTGTGTGTGTGTGTGTGTGTGTGTGTGTGTGTGTGTGTGTGTGTGTGTGTGTGTGTGTGTGTGTGTGTGTAGGATGTGCATTGTCTTGATATCACTTGTTCACAAACAACCTATACCCAGAGTTGTTTTTTCCTTTTGAGTAATAACTCATTAGTACAATTGTTGATGGTAAACATATTTTTGTGCAGTGTTACATTACTGCTGCTTCCCAAATGTGTTTGTTCTAGACCCTTCAGATTTAGCTTGTCACTTTTGGGGGGATCCTGACACCTGGTTGGGAATACTGATCCACAACATCAAAACAACTGCTGATAAAAACAAGGTATCAAACAAAAGTCTCACTGACTTCATGGTAGTGTGCAACAATAGGGAAGCAAAACATTTCTGACACCATGGATTACATTTTATTTTAATAAAATGAAATGTCACTTCAATTCCTCACAAGTTGCTTCAAAGTCTCACTTTCCCAGCAATACATATTTATCCTGACCTTTGACCTTAGGGAGAAACAGTTTGGATAAAAACCAATAAGGTCTCCCATAGTGTGAACCAGACCAGTCTGCCAGAAGATAATCCTCCTCTTTTCTGTGGGACATTTTTTGGGTTACAGCTGCTCAGCCTGGGCCCCTCTGATAGGCTGGAAGTGGTCATAATCGTGCCGACGGGACCTTTAAAAGGGTTTAATATCTCCCTAAGGTGAAACATATAAAACTGAATGGCTGCTAGGAGCTTTGAGTAGCTGCTTGATGTTCTCTTACTGGAAAGCACAGCAATGTGTCGTTCTGTAGAGCTGCTTTGTTTTTATATTTTGGAGGAAAAAAATAATTATTTGGGGATTTAGCGGTTTCATATTAATAAAACAAAACTGCTTTATATAGTTCTATGTTTAGACATGGGGACATTTTAATAAGTGCCTGGCACAGTGTACACCAACGATGTGCTGCTTTGTCAAAAACAGCAGGGTTCCTTTCTTCTCTCCAAAATATCTGACTAGCTTTTACAGGCATTTCCAATAATAGTATCTTACTTGACCAGTATTGATTATAATAAGTACAAATACAAAACATATGCATATACATGGCTGGATTAGCAATTACACATGTGTATTAAATCAAATGAAGGATGCATGTGACTGTGGGAATTTCTCTAGTTGAGGAATCCCTGGTTTGAACTATGAAATACAAATCATCCCAGAACCACACTGATGAAAATACTGATGAATTCTATCAGATATCAATACACAATATCATCCTCTGTCTCTAACCTTCATTGACAGGCAGCCAGCTAATGGCTAGATAAAATACAATGTCAATAAGTGATTCAGTGATCAATAACCTCAGGCAAGGACTGTTTATGTCTACTTCAGGTTAAACCCTCCCAGGACACACTATTGATTAAGAAGAGGCAAACTCACATGAAGACACACATGCTGTAGCCTACATGTGTGCACCTTAAACTCACACTATGACACACACACAAAAACACACACACATTGCTTACCATTTGTCGGTCCACTCATGATGTGAAGTGTGAATGATCCTCAGAGTCTGTATCACTCAGTTCAAAAAAGCTCCCAGCAGCAGGACAAAAGCTCCAAAAAAAGAGCGAGCACTCCGGTGAACTCTCCCCGTGTGTCCGGCTCTAATCTCGGCTCCTCTCTGCGGCTCAGTCTGGGGAGGGCTTTCCCTGCTCCTCCCGGCAAGAGGATTACACTGCCAGGCTGCGGACTGCTGAACCTCTCCACCCTGCCGGTTGAAGAATTAAATCGAAACAGACTGTTCCGTCTTCCTCCACCTGCTCCTCCCCACGCCCTCAGCCTGCTCCCCTCCCCGCCGACAGACCCCCTCAGCCCCCTGCCCCGGTGCAGAGGCGTCCATCCCTCCCTGTCAGAGCTCCGGTGTGAAGCTGGATGCTGGTGCTGAGTTTCTGAAGGTTTTCCACACACTCGGAGCTGTCAGAGCGTCTTTCACCGGGCAGGAGGAGCTGCTCTGACGAAGCGAGAGCGCCACATAGCGTTTGAAGTCAGAATTACAGGCAAAAATCACCAATAGGATGCAGCCCAGTGTTATGGTTAGTTGCTAACAAAAAGTGGATGGGAGTTTTTTCTTAATAGCTTCCTAATCATGTGACCCAATGACTTAAAATAAAAAAATCAATGACCAAATAGATGTAAGTACTGTACTTAAGTACAATTTTGAGATAGCCTACTGAGTATTTCCATGTTATGCTACTTTGTACTTCTACTCCACTAGCCTACAGTTCAGAGGTAAATCGTGTACTTTTACTCCACTACATTTATTCAATAACTTTATTTACTTTGCAGATTTGGATAAATGATTGGAAATATAATCAACACTTAAATGAGACTTTAGTTACACTTGGAGTAACATTTACAAGCTACCCTGCAGTAAACAAATGAATTAACTGGTTGCACCTTTACAGTACCAGCTGTGATAAACACTTTAATGCATGCAAGTACAATGAAAATATACAATATATATTATTCTGAAATTGACCAATTTGCATAATGAGTACTTTTACTTTTTGTATTTTAAAGGAGAGGTGTCATGCTTTTCCGGTTATTACCCGTCCCCTTGTGTGTTATGAAGGTTTTTATGCATGTAAACGGTGTGCAGAGTCAAAACCCTCAAAGTACACCCGATAGCGAGTAAAACTCTAACACAGAAAATACCTCCCCAAAACGCCTCGTTGGAGATACGTCATTGTCCATTTGATTCTTCCGGGACGGCATGATGTCAAGCCGTACCTCGAACGAAATGGAACAATCCGTGGAGCCGTTACGTTACGTCCGCGGAGCCGTTACGTTAAGCCCCCGCTGATTGGTCCAAATTGACCAATCCACGGACTTCCTCACACACACACTCTGTGTGCAGGGAGCAGGCAGCTCAGTTTATTTCTCCTCCCTGGCTGCAGGCTGATAACAGACAGTTGGGATCGCGGCGAAATTCTCTCTGCAGACCCATTCTCACAGCGTTTATCAACCTTTTTCTTACTCAATATCAAGCCACACTTATTGTTTTTACTTCGGATGTGAGTTTGTGTGTGCTCAGGATGAGTTTGGCTGTGTTTCGCTATGTATCCTAAACAAGGAAACAACACCTCCACTGAGCTCAGCGCGATTCACAACGTCCCGACCAATCAGAGCACACTGTGCTCACAGGGAGGGTGGGGGCTGGAGCTTTGGGAGCTCCAACGAGCCGTTAAAGGCAGAGAGTGAAATTCAGTGAATACAAGTAGTTTACAGAGATGCTGTATTACCCCTTTCACACCAACGGTGTTTCAGGGCCGGTTCGGTGCTGGTGCTTGAAAAGCACCGGGTTTTCCTGTTCACACCGCAGCGGAGCAGCGTCATAGCTCCGGAATCCGGTTCGTTTCGAGCACCAAAAAGTTGTCCGTCTAGAAGCAAGAACCGCATACGTCACGCTTACGTCGGAGGGGGGCGAGATTAACCTGAGCTAACAGTTAAGGCGAGTACGGCAAATAAAAGTTGTAACAAGCAGTAGTGCTGAGCAAAGTGACTAGAACGCAACCACACACTTGTTAAAAAAAACACACTTTATAAAGTCAGGCAACACTAACCAGGCTTCGTGTGATTCTGTTTATTTGTACCTTACTTTGACCATCCGTTCGCTGTTATTGATCATTGTGGAGAGCAGGCAGACGTTTTGTTTGTTATTATAGCAGCTATCGGATGGAATCAATACATGGGCTGCACAGGTTGTCATGTCCGACTATCACAAGTAGAATCATAATGAAAAATACGTCGGTAAAAAGTGCCTGTAGAAAACTGCTTAGCAAGTAGTCAGTTTAGCTTCGGTTGCTATGCTAACATCACCCATGTTATACCAGAGAAACTTTCATAACAGCGTTGTGATGCCAAACAGCGTCAATTCAGACTGACACCAAACAGCGTCAATTCAGACTGACACACATTCACTTAAGGGGAACTGGGGATATGTATCAGCTGCTTGTGTGACAGTCAGACAGTGAATACTTTAGAGCCGTGTGAGCTAACCCGGAGCTAACGGGAGAATACACTCGTGGAAGAGCAGCCGGCCAGCACTGCAGCGGTCGGTAAATGCCGCTGAAACACATTAATAAACAATGAACCACGGCACTCTGGAGAAAAGTATAAGGTTGGAGAAGTCGTTATTTAATTTAATCTGGCTTCGTATGGTTAAAAGCAACGCAGTCCCCGGCCCGTTGTTATTGTGAGGTGAGCTCCGGCGTTGGGGAGAAACTCAGCGACGTAAACTGTGACGTCATGACGCAGCAGCGGCAGCACCAGTCGGGCTCTGAGCGGTGTGAAAAGAGCCGGCGCTAAACCGAAGAACCGGTTCTGAACCAGAAAAGCTCTAGCACGGAGCTTGAACCGGAGTTGCGTTGGTGTGAAAGGGGCATATGAGAAACCAATGTGAGTTTGGAAAAGTGCACAGTATAAATCTATTTTAGTATACCTCAACAATGGAATTATGATCAGTGGAAATGGCCATGACACCTCTCCTTTAAGTATATTTTGAGGCTGATACTTTTGTACTTTTACTTGAGTAACATTTTGATTGCAGTACTTTAACTTGTTACAGAGTATTCCTACACTCTGGTACTTCTAACTTTACTTAAGTACACGAGCTGAGTATTTTTCCAGCCTCTGTGTATTACAAATCTGGACAAGTAGGACACACTTATTTTATATTTGTTTTGGTCCATCTCTATAAAGGGAGAAATTAAAGTTCCCTTAAAAACTTAAACCATGCAGAAATCCATTAAAACCCTTAAAGTTTGGCTAAAATTGACTGTTGTTGGACCTCATGTTCAGAGAGGAGGCCATGAAAGCAAAAGTATTTTCATGATGTAGGTGTAGTCTGTAATTCTCTCAAAATGAGTGCAGTGCTCTTGAATGCTCTTGAATGCAGCTCAGGGCCTGACTCCTCCCCGACCGCTCCCCTCATTAGGGCTGCTTATAAAATGCACCTGTTGGCAGGGCCGCCGCTTGCGAACAGGCAACTGCTTGGGGCCCCGGACCAGAAGGGGACCCCCAAAGAAGGTAGATTAAGAAGGTCCACCGCAACGACAACATGAAACACCCTTTAATTTACTGCAACGACATGTCGGGAAACCCCCTCAAGGCAGCCCCATGCATAGCGCGCCGTAAAATGCTGCTTCTTATCTTAAGTTTCGTTGCCTTGCTCCGCTCCGGGGGGGTGCTGAAAAGCTGGTTCGAGGGGCCCCCAGTGAATGTTTGCCTAGGGCCCCCACACACAGTATCTAGAATCGCCACTGCCTGTTGGCCTTTTGTCTTTCCTTTGGCTCTGTCTGTCATGGTCGGTGGTACAAGGCAGCCTCCTATTTTAATATGGATAAGTTGGTCTCTTCAGTTTCTCCTATGTTAAAGGGGACCTATCATGCAAAATGCACTTTTGTACGTCTTTTATACATGAATATGTGTCCCCGGTGTTTCAGGGAACTCACCAAGTGTCAGAAAACACAACCCTCTCTCTTTTCCTCCATACCCAAATCTCTAAAAACGGGGCTGCAACGGAGCTGATACAGATTTGAAATTGTTCTGACGTCAGAAACAGGGAGCTCCGCCTATATGGGCAACTCTCCACCTATCAGGAGAATGGGGGGTTGGGCCACGGCCACGGCCACGGCCATTGCCGCTCGAAAGCGCTGGAGACGCTGTAGTACATATGCCAGTCCTGTAAGTGGCGCTGTAGTCTGACACAAAAGCAGCGAAGAAGACTTCTCACAGAATCAGCCCTTGCAAAAACAGGGCTGGAAAAGAGCAAATAGAGCGAAATGAGGCATGGCTAAAATGCATGATCTGTTTGGTATTTTGAAAAAAAAACTTCACAGACATGTTTTATATAGGTATGGCCCTACAATATATTATTCAAATATAGCATGATAGGTCCACTATGTTAAGCTCACTTGCTGCTTACTTACAGTCTGTCCTGCTTCCTATTGGGCTGTATACCAGTGATTAGTTACACCTCAGACCTGCTGTGGCGAGTAGGGACACAAAGTACAGTCTTAGTTTTTCGAAGTATTAAAAACAAAGGTGAAACAACAGTTGCTTATTGACTTGTCTCAACAATGCATTCATTTTAGATGACAAAAAACAAATATCTCTTAACTCAATTGAACAATTGAATCTTTTTGTGTCCAGTTTTGTTGGTGTTCTGTGACATTATTTCACATTGTAAAATCAAATGTTCAAAGATGATGATTGATCCGGGAGTTACAAATAGGGCTGGACAGGTGAAATACCATGGCTTTACATCAAATGTAACAGGTTTTCAATGAGTCCATTATCTGTGGCTACAAATAAACACCAGAAGGTGGCAGTACTAGTCAGGAATATATTTGTGGCAACACTGCACTATGTGGAGGTATTTTATTGTCATATCAGAGAAATGTCAGAAGAAGAACAGATAAGGGAACTTGAAATACTCAAACTGTCAATCAAGGCTATTGGAGAAGCATTCTTGATAATGATGATGTTGTTTTACACATTTTATGGATAAAAGTCCAATTGATATCCTCTTCTTTTTTTTGAATGACATGTCTTTTGTTTTGTTTTGTTAAAAAAAATCCAGTTTTAACACGAATAGGAGATGTGTTCTCTGCTGACCCTCAAACCAAAGCCTATTTATACAGTTACCTTTCATGTCTGTCCTGGCTCAGATCCATGTATTTAAAACAATGTGCGGGGTACTTCCTGAAAACCATTGACACTTCCTCAAACC